CAAAAACATCTCTTACCTCTCCCCTTTCCTTTGCAAGAGTATGGGGACTTCGTTTCACCAATTCCAGAAATATTATCTGTCTTGAGAAGGACATTATGTCTGTGGCCTTCTAATCAGGGATGCCAAATGATTTTTGAAACCCCCCCTGAAAAACCTGAGATTTGGCATCCTTGTATTAAGCTGACGTTCCACACCCAGACTACTTGTACCCCTCCTCACAGGAGGTACACATGCCAGTCACACTTGTGCTTGCCGCCCATCCATCCCCGACACATGCCAAAACGTGTTAACGATAAGTTAAAGTTAAAAACAATTATATATGACAAAAGATTAAATGAATACATGTAATAGTAATAGTTCAGGATGCAGCACCATGGATGGTTTCCAGGAACAGATTTTGCGAGATAAAAATGAGCGAAGCCATGTCAGCGGGGGTTGTTCACCCTGCAACTGCAAGCGACTTCGTTGAATTTAAGCATGCTTAGTTGTTCGTTGATTCCGAGCTTTTTAAAAATTGATTTTTGTGGAATCGGGGAAACCAACCCTTTTAGTTGAATCAGAGTGCCACCGTACAAAACTTTTTGAAACATATTCCTCGGGCTTGGGCAAAGTGGACCATGAGTATTTTATAACTACGTACTGGAAGCCAGGGCTGAAGTGAATACTATTCTAAATTTTCGAGCCACCTCGTCTGGCCGTTTGACACGACAGTTGATGAAAGATGGCACACAGATTGCAGTGGCTGCGGGAGCTTTGGATTATCCATCTTACTCTTAGAGATTTTTACATGTTATTACTCCCTCTCGATCCCACTTGAAGTCAGGTATCTATCATATACTGAGCTGCCCTGCTCAGTTGTCGTCCTGTACAGCTTCTCTTGCAGAGTCAGTTTAGTTTTTGGAAGAGTTTTACGGCAATTGCAACACAATAAGGTAATATAAGTGCCGAAGAATAGATGCGTTACAAGAAGAGTAACATACACAAAAAAGGAGGAGAGATAAAGACGATAGATGTTTGACAGGAAAGAAGGAGCAAACCACACCAGAGCACCCACATGTTACAACAGAGTAACACACTAAAAAGGAGAGACAAGGACGATCTAGCTGATAAGAAGGAGCAAACCATACCAGAACACACACCAACCACCCACTCTTGCAGTGTCAAAGGAGTTGGCCACATTGCTTGTTTCAGCAAAGAGAAGAATATTGACACAGTAATAGTTATTTAGTGCAGGAGGAAAAAGTAAGGGAGAATGGACAGAAAAGAGGGAAAGTATAAAGTAGAACATGCCAGTTGCATCCTCCAACCACCCACTCAAAATTCAAGACGACCCACCATGTAGGCAACAGTCTGACCTCATACACAACATAAAAAAAAAAAAAATACATGAACAAATGATGTGACATAATTTATGAACAGAAACTTTAATAACCCAACTCGGTCATTGTTTTCTGGTAGGGTGCAATTTTCTTGGCGACGTTTTTCCTGGCTTGTTCTCTCAGTTTCTGAAAAAAAAGTAAACAAAAGAACCATGTAAATGCTCATTCAACATGCACGAGCAATCTAATAGTGAGTTTTAGTTTAGTTTTAGTAGAGGTTTTACGGCGCTTGCAACTGCATAAGGCCATATGAGCGCCAGAAGATAAGAGGTGTTACAAGAGAGTAACAAACATAAAAAAGAACAAGGGGAGATAAGGACGATAGATGTTTGATAGGAAAGAAGGAGCAAACCACACCAGAGCACCCGCCAACCACCCACCAATAACAGTGAGAAACTTGGCAAACATACAAATTGAAAAAAACCCCCAACAATTCAACCAGGGAAAAAGTAACAGTAGAAACTCTAAAAATCTCGTTCTAGTAAGAGTTTCACATCACCTGCAACACACTAAGATCAAATAAGTGCCAAAGATCAGAGGTTTTACAAGGTAGTAACAAACACAAAATAGGAGGGGAGATAAGGACGATAGATGCTTGATAGGACAGAAGGACTGAACAACACAGACAGGAGTAGTTCATGTGCCTGTCTCAGATGGTAGTGCATGTAGGTTGTTTTCACAAAGCATCAATGCGCTGTGGATGTTGCATCACTGACAGTTCGACTTATTTACTGGATGGAATTTTTAAACTTGTATCTTACACAGGTACCGGTGAGTAAAGAGATACCGGTACTCATAGAGAGTACGCTATGACAGCAGTTACAGCGAAACTAACCAGAACAGAAAACTGACAATATGACTGATTAGTAAACAGAAGCAACATACAAAAGAGCAAGTTAGACACCCCCCCCATTCCATACAAACAAGACTACATACACATCACATAGGAAATAAAGCATGGTATAAAAAGAGAGCACCCGCTCTTATCAATCAACACCAATCTAACACGCCGGATAACCAAATCTGTCTCAGATGGTAGTGCATGTTGGTTGTTTTCACATAGCATCAATGCGCTGTGGATTTTCATCACTGACAGAGTGGCTAGTCTCCCTAACAACTAGAGCTTCAGTGACAGCACACTAAATTAATACTGCCACAGAAAGGAGCAAATTTATTAAATTAATGTTACTAATCTACCTTCTCAAGCAGACAAACAACAGCACCCCCCCCCCTCGCGATGGAGTGAAACAAGACCAACATTCTCTGCTTGAATCAAAACAACATGAAACACCCTCTAAACTGGTGGTGAGTGGGTAGAATAGTAGAAAAAAAGCAAAGAAATTAGTAGTGAAGGCACATAGGAAGCAAAGACCCCAGCAGCAGTAATTTATGAAGTTGTATTTGCAAACAAAAACACAGACACAAACAACATGGATTTAAACAGAACAAATGCTTGGAATAATATATGGAGGCCTACATCTAGTGAAAGAAAATGAAAACAGTAGGAAAACCTCCCAAACATTGACTGTGATGCTTATTTCTGTCTCAGATGGTAGTGCATGTAGGTTGTTTTCACATAGCATCAATGCGCTGTGGATATTTCATCACAGACAGACCCCCCCC